TGCTGAGGCGGTACTCTTGCCAGTGGTCGGACATTCGAGAACGTCGGTGCCGAGTACCCACCAAACGGCAGCCACCGATCCGGCGGCAGGTGGGTGTTAATTGCCCACAAAGACCCCCATGCCGCCAACCCTGTTGGGGGCTGCGCCAAACGTAAAGGGGCAGTCGCGGACTCGAGCCCCGCACTCGGGCCCGACAGGCGGAACCTGTGTATCCTCACCACCCGTTGCACTTTGCGCTCGGAGCTGTTGGAGGAGTGCGACCTCGGCGGCCTACCTGTTCCACCTGTCGTCGCAATGTGCAAAGCCGGCGCTTCCTCGCTCGGAGCCTGGAGTTCGACTTAACCACCCCACAACCCGCATGCCGTATCCGAGAAAGAGCACTGAGAGCGCAGGCCCGGCCGTCACAAACATGGTGGACGATCTGCCGCGGTCCGAGGCCCCCGCCCCAGTAAGCGGCCACAAGGAAGATCGACACGCGAGCGTGCTACGGAAAGTGGTGGCACCACGGGACAGGCACCAATTACGACAATGGATGAAGGAGTACCGACAAGAGGGAGTGTCAATCACGGAGGAGGAACTACAGCGGAGGCTAGGGGGGACGGAAGCGGCAGAAGGAATAGGGGTGTTGTTGATGAATTATTACGAACTGAGCTCGGATAGTGAGGCGGTGGTGGTGGAGTGAGGAACAATACCGGAGGACGCGAGTAGCACCCCGGCAAGTCAAGAGGGAGTAACGGGGGCAGAGCAGGGGGAAGAGGAGTCCCGAGGAAGAGGCAGGAAGCGGCGACGAGAATGCCAAGAAGGAAGGACCTAACAGCAGACGAGCACACAAAAAAAAAAGAGAAAATTTTAGAGAGAGAAACAGAGAACAAGATGGGTACGAGAGGCTACGGGCGAATGATGGTGACACAAGGGCCCAGAAGGCCGACGATACTAGACCGGACGACCATCCTTGCGTCGGCAAGTCGACGCTGCTGAGGGCGTTGAAGGAAGACGGCTACGCGGCTGTAGTCGGGGATTACATGGAGGACTGCCAGGACTACCCCGTCTTCAGGGAGAAGAGTGAGGACAAGTTCGTGGAGCTGGCCTACCTCGCCTTTCAATGGGCGAAGGTCAGGCCGGGCCACCTCCACGATCGGGGCCCCATGAGTGCCATGGCGTACTCCCTCATTCTCGACGTCGTACGAGGGGAACGCCAGCTGGCAGGGGCGTTGGCAGCAATCGAAGACATGCCACCACAGGTGTGGGCGGCGATGGGGCAATGGAGGACGGTTGTGCTCCTCGAGGAGGACGAGAGAGAGGCAGTACGCCGGATGCGAAGAAGGGCGAACGGCATCGACGTAATGACAGTAGAGTACGTCAGGGTTCAGAACGAGATCTTCAGGGCGATAGCACACAAGGTAGGAGCGGAGGTCCTCGTGCACCGACAGGGCCAACCAATGGATGAGTGGTTGGGTGTCGTGAGAGGGGTCGTCCTC